ACTACATACGAGCTCCATGCTGAATTCTACCTATCATGAACATGCCCATGGCAACCATTGGATCTTGATTGATACATATCGTGAAAATAGCTTGATAACTAAACCACCTGAAATATACAAGTGATTTCAGTATATATATTTCCTAATATAATTAATTTGCATAATTATTATTGCATTCAATATTTTGAAACTGAGGTTATGTAGTTGTATAAAAGAGGAGGGAAAGTATCGCAACAGATTTCGGACAGTCATATGTTGGATTTTGGCTATTCTCTGAGTATTTAAACAGGTCAATATGTTAGACCAATGCGTTACCCCAAGGAAAATAACTCCTAGAGATGATAGAATAATTTCGACTTTGAGACAGGGAAGATGCAAACAACCCATCTACATGTTTTTTCTGAAATGTTTTCCTGATTTAATCCCTTTTGGAATACAGTTTTCAAGTTGTGGGTAACAGAAACGACAAAAATCGTATTTGCAGGATGTCTACAAGTAATTTAATGACATGTATGTTGCACATAAATGATTTATCTTGAAAATGAGAACCTAATAATTGAATTCTGGACACTGATTCGTATTTTTTTACTTCTCTCTTCTCTATTGAGTCCATATAAGCCAGCATATCAAAACTATACCACATAAAGTGCTACGAGTTCCTGTGACGCCTTATGCTTCCAAATTTTGAAATTTTGGGAATTTGATTTTTTCAACTGATAGTTATGTTAGTCCAATGGGGGAGACCCTATCTGTTGCAAGAAAAAATAATCGAAGCAAATTGAATTTCCATCTTCTTTTCTAATTATTGTCTGGATTATAGAATATTATTTATACATATGTACTAATGTTGAATCGGGATAATGCCTATGACGTTGTGTTTTGCGGACCAATAGAAAATTGTCCATTTTATCGTGTTGCATTGCGGGAAATATTTATGTTAATGACCAGTAATTTCGTAACGCGAATAGGACTTGGCTGAAAGTGGCACAAACCCATTTCTGACATGGTCACTTAAATCCCTCATTGCTCAGTCATCTGTGGAGGAGAATAGAACTAGAACATTTGCTACCATATGAAAGAGGACATAACTGCACAAATGATAGTACCTGCGAATAACCCAGATGCGAGTAGAAATAATCTTGATTTACGTCATTAAAAATTATAAATTCAGTCAAAGTAATATCACATTTGAAATCTACATGTAAAATTACATCTAGAAATGTGGTTTTGAAAAGAGTTCATCAACTTTGAAAAATTAATTTTCTTTGAAAATGTGATTTCTAGCTCGGGGAGATTCCTCATAGACCCCATGTTGTAAAATCACAAAAAATGAAATATATTTTCTTTTATTGGACAGATAATATTTTGCTTTATTACTGGACATATTTTCATTAGTATAAGTATCAGACACATAAGGGTTATATGAAAACTGAGACACTTAAATTGATAATATTCAAGTTTAAGAGAACTTACTTTCAATTCAATTCAATTATTTATTTCATAATTCTTATATAATATACACTATAAAAACAAGCCGCTAGACACCCTAGTGGGTATATGTTGCGGTTTAACAGAAATCATTAAAATGACAACTAGACTACATATAAAAGAAAACACTTATATTATGTTACATGTAGGTATATAAAAATGGTATTAACAATTAATCTAAGGATGTACAATGTAAAAATGTTACAAAAATCGGGTACCAGTATAAAATCAACAGTATAGTATGATATTGGTATTATACATTATCGATAGATGAGTAGTTTTTTATATGAAGATTTGAAAATATTTAGAGTGGAGCATTTTTTAATATCATGTGGTAGAGCATTCCAAAGATTAGGACCCAGATAGCGAAGGGAAAGTTTAGAGCATTTAGGGATATGAAAATAATGCAATTGTCTTGTGTAATGATGATGAATATTAATGTTGATATCAAACAAGTCTTGAAATAGATTTTTTGGAAGACTGGGGTGCTTATTAAAGATTTTGTACATGAACTGACCAGTACAATATCTGTTGACATCAAAAATATTTAATATTCTAAGGTCTTTAAATAGGGGAGCGGAGTGAGAAAGTCTATTCTTATTTAAAGCTAGCCTTAAGAATTGTTTCTGCAGTTTATGTAGACGATCATAAAATGATTTAAATATGTTACCCCAGATTATGTTGCAATAATTTAATTGAGAGTGTATCAATGAGTAGTAAATTGTTTTGAAACTGTCTATTTGAAGTAGATGTTTAATGTGATAAAGAGAACCAATGACGCGAGAAATCTTTGTTTCAACAGATTTTATGTGCTCTTTAAATTTCAAGTTTTTATCAATAATAATTCCAAGAAAGTCAATTTTTTCCCGGAAATTTATGTTCTCATTGCGTATTTTAAGATTCAGATTTGTTTGATTTTTTTGGGGTCCAAATAGAATAGCATTGGTTTTGCCAATATTAAGTGAAAGTTTGTTTGCTTTTATCCAGTCATCTATTGAATTCAAGTTTGCATTAGTTCTAGTCATAAGTTCATTTAAATCATAATCACTATCAAGAAGATTGGTGTCATCAGCAAACATAATAAATTTTAGATTAGGGGCAACAAAAGGCAGATCATTTATGTAAAGAATAAATAATAGTGGTCCAAGTACCGAGCCCTGTGGAACACCACAATTTAGAGATGATTGTTTAGATTCATAATTGTTAATGGTGACATTTTAAATAACTTTCAAACCAGGACTTAGCTATTCCTCTGATGCCATAATATTCAAGTTTTTGTATCAAAATGTCATGATTAATTGTGTCAAAGGCCTTGGAAAAATCTAATGTTATGCCAATGCTCGTTTTCCCCAAATCAGTTGATTTTCGAATTTGTTCAATGAAATATAAAATGGCCATGTAGGTAGAGTTGAATTTCTGAAATCCAAATTGATAAGTAAAAATAATTTCAAAACGTTCTAAAAAACCAGTGAGTTTGGCGTGCATGAGCTTTTCTAACAATTTAGAAAATACAGATAAAACTGAAATTGGTCTATAGTTCGAAGGATTTGTAGTGACACCTTTTTTAAATACAGGTGTTACTTTGGCCAATTTGAGGGCGTCTGGGAAAATACCAGATTTAAAAGATAAGTTAAATATATACAAGAGTGGATCAATTAAAAACTGTCTTGCAGACTTAATAAGTGATGGTAGAATCCCGTCAGGTCCAGGCGAGGAAGATTTTAGAAGACACATTTCTAATTCAAGCTCAGTTTTTGAGGTCTTTTTGAGATAAATAGATGATTGAACTTTTTGAGCTCTTGCTAGGTATTCATTAAAGCATTTTTTGGATTTTGGAATCTCCTTGGCTAGATTTTTACCAATATTGGTAAAAAAATTATTAAATCCATTGGAAATGATTTCATGATCTGTTGTTTCCTTTCCATTTATAGTGAATTTAGATGGCAATGCAGCTTTTTTGTTTTTTCCAAGTAGTTCATTAATGATAGACCAAGACTTTTTAATGTTACCACTTACTTCGGCAAACTTATTTTGATAATGTGTACGTTATATACATAGAGTCCATTTCACTGTTTTATTGCGTCAGTGGAACCCCAAGAATAAGAAATCGGAAGACCATTGTGCAATAATATATGGAAAAGTATATTCATATTGTACATGAATGACATTTGTATATTTCAGATTTTTTAGTTTTTTGTGCAATAAGGCTGTGCCCTCCTGTAAGTTGAAGAATTTCAGCCATATTAATCTTATTGAAAATAACATGGCAGAGAAGCATCCAAATATAAGAGGCCACACACTTTATAAGCCAAACTAGAAGCAATCCAAGATATACAAATGTCATTCATGCACAATAGGAATATATTTTTCCATTTACTATTGCATAATGATCTTTTGATTTCTTATTTTTTAGGTTTTACTGACGCAATTAAACAGTGAAATGGACTCTACCTGCCATGTTAATTGACCCGAATCAGCCACCTGGTGGTGAAACTGTTAACTACCTACTCGCATTTGGGTAATTGTCCCTAACATTATTCATCTTTGAGAAAGCAATTTAATCTCGGTTTCCTTTTTTGAGAAACCCTGTATTTGAAAAATAGAAACACATGTACAATGCCTAACTTTTGTATATTCCAGATAGTTATGTATAATGTGCAGCTATCACGGGGTACCATCGAATAATTTTGGCAACGTACCGGAGAAGACATTTTACTAAGAAATGGCAATAATTTAGCACAATATTTTTTTTAACTAGAGTTCTACTTTGATTTTGACAAAAGTAAGTATTCCATGCAATGCCTATTTCATTCATGAGTTTGTAGGAATTCTGTTGGAACCCAGTTCTGATCAAGTACGAAGTTATTGAAATCGGCGCAGTCGGACTTTACTCCGAAAGATGGTTTTTCGATTATAACTTTTTACAACATTTAAGTATAGACTTTTGAAAAAAGAACAGAATAGTCCTTATACTATTGAATAATTCTGTTATTTCTGATTCACACGACTCTGATTTGTTTAATTAAAAAAAAAGTTTTAAAGATATTACTTAGGAACGTAACCGGAGCTGGGAACGTAACCGGAGCAGATCAGTTGAATTATATAATTTAAAAAATAAAATATATGATTTAAAGCATATTAATAAATACGCATTCGAACAATCCCGTATGTTTTTAAATTAGTATATGTGCTTTAAATCATATATTTTAATTTTTTTGATTAAATAATTCAACTCGATGGTACCCCGTGAGCTATGCTATGGCCTTTTGTAATTTAGGGAGTTTCGAAAATAACATGGCAGAGAAGCATCAAAACATAAGCGGCCACAAATATGATAACCAAACTACAAAACAAACTAAAATATACAAAAGTTAGGCCATGTACAGTATAAATGTTCCTATTTTTACATATACTGTTTCAATATGGTCCCTTGATTGCTTATTTCTTAGATTCAAAATACTTCCAAACATTAAAAATTTTACTGTACAAACTGTCACTATTTTATGTCTTACCTCTTTGTTCCTGAACTTTGCAAAATGTCTGTGATAAATATCAAAGTAATGATTCCATTTAAAAACATCTCCGTAATCTTCAGACTTCTTGTAGTTTTTCCACCATGTATTGAATGGATTGACAGTTGTATCAAGATATGTATGGAGTGGGGGCGCATCCTGTAATCTAGTGGTCTCTTTTTCTTGTATTCCGGTGATCCTGAATTTTTGGCCACGATCATACAAAAAAGTGCTAATTAGCAAAACAGAGAATAATACTAAAACTGGAATTGCGATCCTCCTCATGTTAAAGCAGTTAAAGTAACTACTAATAGTAGTAAAGGACATGATCATAAAAGGTTGATCATAAAAGAGTATAAAGTTCGATCCTTTCTTTTTTAATTGTTATACAGTTATATGTAATCAGTTCATTCTGACACTAATCTTATTTTATTTAAGATTTAAATTTTAAAAATACACTTCATTAAAATATTGATTCTAAAAGATATACTGTTGCGTCATTGTGAATTCGTAACCTTTCAGAAAAAACATCATTAAAAATTGAATTAAATGGCCAATTAGTATTACTATAATATTCGGATAAAATGATTTTGCTTCTAGACACCACATGAGCTCCAATTACAGATACGAACAGAACTAATATGTTACATATATCACAGTAAATGGTTGAATTCTATTATAGCACGATTGAATATTGATCATAAAAGAGTGTATACCGTTCCTACAATTCTCATTTATTAAATTGTAATAGCGTATGTAATCCATTTCATTCTGACGCTAATCTTATTTTATTTAAGATTTAAATTCAAAAATACACTTCATTATAAAATATTGATTATAAAAGATACACCGTTGCTTCATTGTGAATTCGAAACTTTTCAGAAAAAATCTATTGTTATGATTGAATTAAATGGCCAATTACTGTTTTTATCATAGGTTCTGGGCCGATATAAAGATGGCAGCACCAACAGAATCCAGTATTATCTTTTTCTTTAAGGGAAACACAGATAAACACAGAACGATTACCATGCCATCTTTATTTAAAAATGATTTCTATCGCCCCTGAGCCTATGGTTTAATATCCTGATGTCGAAATGATTTTGCTCCTACTAGACCAGGTGTAAAAGGGTAGAAGTTCCTATCAAATTATGGTCCTACTCTCCGATTTATATGGTAACCTAAATACAACTCTTTCCCTCATTATCTTATACACAATCAGGGCCAGTAAGGGCCGATAAGAAAGGGGACCATAATCCCTGGGCCCGTCTCTGGGGGACCATCATTTCTTTCACACCGGCCTTGTTATAGTTTCGAACAGGACACATGCCTTGGTCACATTTGCTACGATTTATAGGAAACAAACAAATATATATAAAAATGCATGTTATAATAATAATATTAATCTCTTAACATAAGTATATACAAACATGTTGGCATCTGCATGGGCATCTCATGAATTGACTGTGACACTCTCTTGCGTATGAAGTCGCGTTCACAATTCAACATAAATTCAACATTGGTCAAAAAAGGGTGGGGCCATTTCTTTTGGACGCCGGTGTGTGTGGCAAGCGCGCTTTCGAGTTCAATGGCTGTAAGTAGTTAATTTCAAGGATTTTAAGAATACAGAGTAACCAGAATGTTATGTTTCAACTGCAATTTTAATTATAAGTTCTATTCATAATTATAGAGTGATTTGTGATAGTTTGCACATATTTTAAGAATACAGAGTAACCAGAATGTTATGATTCAACTACAGTTTTGCGTTTTGTGATAGTTTACAGTCGCATACTTTAAAAATTCAGAGTAACCAGAATGTTATCTTTCAACAAACTTCTTAAATCATTCAAAACAATTGGTAAACACTGGTTAGAATTTCCGTAATGATTTTCTACTGAACACTGAAGTTTCAATGCATTTGTTTTACCTCTACTTAGGCTATTTCCTTGGACACAACTGCTGGATGAATAAGGATCTAACAGACAAACAGCGTGAGATAGCCGATACTAAGTTTGAGCAATGTCAACAGCGGAAACGTTTTATTGAACAGCAGGGCTACGAGGTGACGGAAATCTTCGAGTGTCAGTTCCACGCCCAGTTGAAGTTGAATCCGGACATGCAGGCTTTTATGGAGAATAACTTTGACAGACCCTGCGATAAAAAACCGACCATGACCAAAGAGGAAATCATAGAGGCCGTGATGAATGACTCTCTCTTTGGCGCGGTTGAAGTTGATATCAGTGTACCCGATGATCTTTGGTCTCAAAAACCGAGAAAGCTCTTAATAGGTGAGCAACTCATCGTGCAAATTATGAAAACTGTTGTATTGTTACTTTACAATTATGAAATCATAGAGAAAAGATCACAAGCATTCAACTAGCTAATATTTTTATTTGTAGTTGGTATGAAGGCAAAGAACATCTTGTTGGCGTCCAATCTCTTGAAATGGTACATCAACCATGGACTGGAGATAATAAATTCCTTGAAATATAATGTGAATATATCAAGTTCATTTATTCCTATTTATTTATATTGTCTCATTATAAATCCGATAGCCCGTTGGAATAACAGTCAAGCATGGCATTATTTTGTTGTGATTTAAATGTTTCCTAGGTAACAGCGGTCCACTGTGTCATTGAGTATGATGGCAAATCTTGCTTTGAGCAGTTCGTGAAGGATATTACTGAAGCCCGACTCTTAGGAGATTTAGATCCGTCCCAGGCGTGTCGGGGTGATACCTGCAAATTGATTGGCAACAGGTAACAATAGCAACTACACCTTGTAAGCGCCAAGTTTGAATTGATGAACCACTTGAACTAAACACTTATACTTGTATTTAAACTAGTATATATAAATTGTAACAGTATATAAATATCCGCGCAAATGCAAATCTAGTAATTATTTATTATTTCACAGCGCTTATGGATCCGTAATCATGGACAAGCTGAAACACCTCTTCACTTGCATCGTTCGGGGTTTGGCCAAAGCCCAGAAGAAAGTAAATCTGCGGAGATTCCGTAAATTGGAGGAGCTTGACGATTTTACTTACGAGCTGCAACTAGCCAAACAGCGTATATGCCTGAATATGCCCCACCAAGTGGGATTCTTCATCCTACAGCACGCTAAATTAAGGTTATTTTGATTAATATTACAAATCTTTAGGAAATTGAAATGGAGCATTAAAACCTAAAAGGCTCCAAAAGTAAAACAAAAACCACGGGAACTTAGATAAGCTAAGACCCTGGACCTCTAGGAAGACAGGTTTTTTTACTGCCTCCTAGAATCAATATTGTTTTCAAATAAAATCCAATAAAACATAATCTAATGGTCTAATGTAACTATTTTTAATTGCATTGGTCGTAGTATTATCTAATACCCATTACACTCTGTCAATGAGACATCGTAATGATATGTAATTTTAATTATTTAATATTGCAGAATGTTGGAATTCTATTACGATTTTCTGGACAAATACGTCGACAGAAGCAGTTCCGAGGTGACAGAAATGGACACTGATAGGTGGGTCTAATACTAATAATAATCAGGGTTTGTCAAATTTGTTTATTTGTAAAAATTGATATTGTATGTTCAATATGTTTTAAAAGGTTCAAGTTTTGAAGTGTAAATGTTTCGATGTTGTCCTTTGTTCCTTGTGCATCTGTTAGTTCTGGATATGTGTACCACTCGATTTCTACTTTACTATTACACACACGATATTTTTTCATTGCAGTTTATACTTCGCCCTATCCGAAGAGACTTTGGAAAAGGCAGTAAAACCGGAACTCGTAGATGAATTCAACGCCGAAAAACATCTGTGGTTACCTCGTACAGACACGAAAGAACACCAAAGGGTAGACAGGCGTCGCTCAGGAATTTTTAAATTAGAGGCCATTGGAACGGAAATGACGTCATTGTGCTCGAAAACGTATTGTCTGTACGATGCAGCTACAGACTCGTGCAAATTCAGTAGTAAGGGTCTGAACAAAAAGCAATTTGAAAGCCCACTTGAAATTTACAACAGAGTTCTGGAAAGCGGCAAGCCAGAGTCTGGGGAGAATGTAGGCTTTAGAATGAATGACAATCATATGCACACTTACCATCAGCAACGTTTAGGATTCAGTAATTTTTACTGCAAGCGAATTGTGAACTCAGATGGTGTGTCGACACGGCCTCTTGACATAACTCTAATACCGACTGATTCTTTTAATGAGATGATATATTCGACTGATGTAATCGATACCTGGAGGTTACATCATCCAGATCAAAATGATTATACATGGAGGCACAAGTCTCAAAACATTGTCCGAAGAATTGATTATGTATTTACAAATAATAAAGCCTTTGGAAATGTATTATCAATTGAGTTATTTGATATGCCAGGGTCAGATCATAGAGGAATTTTAATGAACTTTTCAACTGATGTAAATGAGAAAGGTCCATTTTATTGGAAATTTAATAACAGCCTTTTAACCAATAAAGAATTTGTTAATCAAATGAATGATATTCTCATACATGAAAAACAGAATCTCAATAATCTCAATCCCCAAGTTTTATGGGACTATTGTAAAACCAAAATAAAAGATTTTTCTACATGTTATGGTAAATTGTTAGCCAGTAAAAGACATAATGATTTGAAAATAGCCAAGCTAAATCTGAAAAAGTGTAGTGATTTATTGGCCAATGATCCAGAAAATGTTGATCTGAGAAAAAGGGTTAATAATCATAAACTTTGTTATGAAATAGCAGCCACATGTGAAGCCAAGGGTGCTCAATTGAGATCCAAGGTTGACTGGTGTGAAAAGGGGGAAAAAAACACAAAGTATTTTTTATCATTAGAAAAGGCCAGAGCAAATAATAAATGTATTAACTCCATAAAGCTGGCAAATGGTGAGGTAGTGAAAAAGCAAGAACTAATTATAGATGAAATAAACAGATATTATAATGACTTGTATTCTAAAAAAGTAATTTTTAGACCTGTTCTATTAGATGATTTCTTACAAAATGTACATATACCTAAATTGACTGAAGAGCAGAGTCAACTTTGTGAGGGGGATATAAGTTATAATGAATGTTTAACAGCACTTAGGTCAATGAAGAATGATGCTAGTCCTGGACTAGATGGAATCTCTGCTGCATTTTACAAGGTATTTTTCATGAAAATTGGCACAGTTTTAGTACATGCATTGAATACAGCTTTTGTTAAAGGTGAAATGTCGTGTTCTCAGAGAAAGGGTTTAATGGTGCTCATACCTAAAAAGAGTTTGGCTAAAAATGAATTAAAAAATTGGAGACCATTAACGCTTACGAATGCAGATTACAAAATAGCTGCAAAGGTAATTGCTCTTAGGATAAAACATGTTATTAAGCATATTGTTCATGATG